TCCAGCGACCGCCGCCGGCGGCTGGGCGACCGCTCCCTGCGCCTCTCGGGGGAGAGGTCTCTCCTCCTCTCATGTCGCTCCCGCCTTTCCAAAGTGTTGTCAGCGCTCCTCGTCCCTTCCCTCCGCTTTTCGGGAGACCTCCTCTTCTGCCCGTTCACCACCGCCCTCTCCGGCTGCCTCTCGCGCCTCCTCTCCGGCGACCTCTCCGTCCTCCTGCCTGGCACGTGGTCGTTGGTTTTAGAAGTCCCATTCCAAGTGTGGTGTTCGTTGGGATGTCTGCTAAACTCTCTGCTGCCTTTTAGGTCTCTAACGTAAGTCCGCTTGTCCCCATGTTGTGATGATTTGTGAAGGTCTGGTGGATAACTGGACTCCGATGATGGGTGCTGCCGTCGGTCGGATGGCACGGGTTTCATTTCCGATACATTTTGTGAACCTGTGGCGGGACTGTTCCTGTCACTGCTGGGGTCTGAAAGAAAATAACAGCAAAGCATTTGGTACCGATGCCTTCCGCGGCGCCGTGACACCACTTATCACTCTTCAGACTTCATTAGTGACAAAAACAAACAACTGTTAAAGCAGTCAGCGAAGGCTAACCGAAGCTTTTGTTAATTTAACTGCGAACAACGAGAGTTACAGGTTAGTACTGGTGCTGCTCTGTTCGTTAGCCGTGTTTTGGTCCAAGCCGATATCATCTTTATGCTCTTCTTGTCATGGGGCATTTTACATTTTCCCCAAGCCCAATTCGTAATGTTTCAGTTACACTACTTTCTTTCCAGTGGAAAAAAAAATATTGTAGTTCGGGTTGTTGGCTGTTTTTTTAACAGTTTCCAATAAAGAGGGCCTTTAGGTAATGATATTTTTCTTTTAAGTCTTTTGAAAGTATTGCCTTCCAGGTGTGGGAGGCCTTGTTTCAAATAGCAGAAAAGGTACAGAAAATAGAATCGATTATTAAGTTTTTACCTTGTAAAATAACATTTTGAAGGTGTGAGAATTAGACTGTAATCAGGCAATTTACATCTCATTTAAGACATTACTTAATCTCACTTAGTTCTACCACGTTATGAAAAGTCCTAGCGTAGATTTTGGTTTTGCCACAATGATTCAAACAACGATGACAGAAGTTACGATTTTTTCATATCAAAGCAATGGAAAGATATTGTAATATGTAGGATGGCTTTGATTAAAACCTAATCTCCAGTTCATTATTCTTAATGTAGTATTTCAGGCAAAATACAGCTGAGCTACCTCTGCAAGACAAACTGCAAAGCAGAATAAAAAAACAATCCCAAAACTAAAAACCAGCCCTGCGCTGTAGCTAAGCTACAATTACTGACGTCATTTGTAACGGATGTTTGTGAATGATCGATTAGAGACACGGCAAACATTAAAGTAGCTGCGCTGATTTAACGCGAGCCTTGCTTTCATTTCCTTATTGTTTTCTTTCTGAAAGTAACTTCTGCGCAGCAGCTCGGCTGGCATTAGCTACTCTTCCCGCAGGCTTCCTGCCGCTTGCACCGAGACACCCACCTCGGGTGGACTGTCCTTACGGCAATGACTGAAACCCCTCACAAACCCTTGTGGGGATAGATTTTTTTTTTTTTTTTCTGTTTTTCTCCTTTTTGTCTTCCCTCCCCCAAGCCAAACACTCTACGTGCTCATTCCTCCTGCCACCACGCAAAGTGTCTCCCACTTGACGGCATTTCCATTCCTTAGCTTGGGAGGGTCGGTGTGTGCATGGGCCGTGATTTTTGTGATTTCCAGGTGAACCCCGTGTTGTGACTCACGTGTGTGCATTTTTGCTTATTAGCTTTTTCAGGCAGCAGCTGGGGACCGCACCGCTTTTCCGTAGCTGTAAGGACGTGGCTTGCGGCAACCTGGCTATCGCACAAAGTACAAGCAAGGTTTTAACGTGTCCTGTGGTGTACTTACAATTCGGGGGACGCAGGGTGCTCGGAATGAATTGCTGTACATATAAAATATAGCGAAGCGGAAAGCAATGTGAGGGAATTAGGCCACAGCACAAAAACACCTAATATTGATTTTAGCTACAAACCGTAGTTTGATTATGGCCCATAAGGTAGAAGCAAGACTCCCCGAGCTTGTCATTTCTCATACATGCAGCGATATTAGGAGGTATCATCGCTGAGGAAGGAAGAGCCCAGCACCAAGAAAGGTAAGAGAAAGAGAAAGAGAAAAGTAGAAAATTTAGATTCCCTATAACAAAGATGAAAGAAAGAAAAATCTTCATATTTTATCTTAGAATAAAGAAAGTTTATTTTTCCAGTCAGATTGTCTAGGCTTCACCCAAATATAAGGCTGCAATGACAGCAGTTGTTATTATCGTGACATAAAGAGACATCTAAGAGGTGATTCAATAACCCAGACAACGAGAGCATCCAAGACAGCTGGAACAGCAACACAGAATGTCATAGAAAAAACATTAACAATCAAACAACAACGAAAAATAAAGTCCACCAGAGACCACGACATTAAAAATAAGTACAAAACTCATTACAAAAATATACAGCCTCATAGAGAAGCATGTTCCAATTGAGTCAGAAAAATATTGGAACTTAACATTATTAGAGGAACCATTTGCGACTGCAGCAAACAGAACGAAGAGAGGAAGGAGTCCCAGATGTTACAAGGATATTCTTTACAGTAGTGCAACCCCTGTATATTAAATCCTTGCTTGGAGAATGAATATTTAGTGGTTTAGCATTAGCCAAAAGAAAATTGGTGGTGGATTTCCATCCTCAGTGCAACAAACATATGCTTTGAGAAGTGAAGCACTTAATTTACAGGGTATTTATGCAGTCTAGCATATGATACAGTACTGTACATCCGAAGGAGTATAGGAAAAGACAAAGTAGAAAGAACATTACAGAATTTCAGTGCCATCATTGAACCTTCTGGTGTGCTATTTATATTACAGAAGTGTAAACCCACAACTTCCCTTCCATATTGTTAAACGCTTCAATTGTTTGTTGGTTATACTCTGAATTGGTCATTTTAAGTTAAATAATGAGCAGAGTGAGCAGAAACTCTCAAACGTGGCACAGTAAATGAAAAGAAAATTTAGTTCATAAATTGTGCAGAAGGGTTTTGCTTCTGGTTTTAGGACATGGAGTGAATGATAAACACGGAACTTACTGACACAGAAATAACCCAAATACGGGGAGAAAAGTATAAAGGACATCCCTTCAATCATCAGTTTCTATAGAAACCTCAAAGACCTTTGGTTGGGAGTAGCCCTCCATCGAGGGCACAATATATGACAATTATCTCAAATAAATAAGACATAATTATAATATTAAATAGTGTGCTAAGTTAAGCCACCCAGCAATCCAACCTCTGGGGGAAGAAAAGGAAATCTAATGCAATTCTTAGTAAGAAATGAGGACTTAATGTTTCCCCCAAGACAGACACGAGAGCACCTTTTCATAACCTCCTCACCTTTTCAGACCTTACAAATTAACGAGTTGAAACCAGTAGACAGTGTAAGGGGGAAGAAAAGGGCTCAGGAGGCCAAATCAATATATTTTTGCAGTAAAGCTTTTTTTTCCCTTCTTTTTCTTAAATAACTTTATAAATATTTACACAAATATTAAGGGAAGGCAAAAATCCCGTTTTTCATGTCTATGGATACAGATAGGAACTAAGAGAAAAACCTAAGAAAAAAAAAAATCACTGCTTCAGAATAATAACTCAAGATCCCAGTTTTTGCATTGATTAGAAGTAGAGACCTATTTAAAACAACAACTCAGCCACTGAGAAACAGTTTGGCACAGTTCAATGACATTCCTTGTTTGGCTGGACAAGACAACAAGGGGTTTTTTTGTTTTGTTTTGTTTTCCTCTCTGATCACCAAAAATACTGCTATGATGATCTTGCCTTACACTGTGCCCCAAGTCCATGGAAGCAAGCAAAGGATGAAATGTGTAGAAAATTCAGCACAAGCGAGGCAATTAACCTTATGTTGCAAAGGTTGGTAAGACACTGGTGAGAAAGGAAAATAAAAAAGAATTCCTGCTTCAGATCTTGAGACAAATCATTCATGGAGTGATGCCAGGGAAGAAAGGAATGTTTTCATAGTTTGACCCACCATATTCTGGGACAGAGCCATCTCCACGTTTCAGAAACAGGCGGACCCTGCGGCCACCATTTTTAATCAGTTCGATGGCCCGAGCGTGCTTCATGTTCTTGGTAGTTTCTCCGTTGATCTCTAAGATTTCATCACCGATCTGTCAGTGTAATAAAAGAAAGAGTCTAACATCAGTAACAAACCCCCCACAAGGGCCACCACCAGCATAGCACAAGGCAACGGCCACAGCAAGGTAGAAGAAGAACTATGCACCAAGGAAGCTAAATACACCCAACTCCTTCCAGTGACAGTCCATAAAAAACAGTGTGCAGGGGCCTGGGAGACATGAAGATGACAGGGAGAGCTTAAGGTATCAAAATATTTCATTGCTGTTCTGTAAAACCACCTTGCATTACTGTATTGCTCAATGCCTAGAGCTGTGTTAGAACTGATGTTACTTTATTTTGATTATTTGTAAAGTCTTTGGTCAAAGTGGTTGATTGTTTTACAGTCTGCTGTAATTGGGATGTTCAAGTAGATTTTTCAGGTCCATTTCTCACTTGGATATAGATACCTACTATGAACTAGTAAACCTGCTTTTGTAAATATAGTAATTTATCAGGATAGAAAAACAAGGCTTGGAAGAGCCTGTCAAAGCATTGACTTCCACAGGGCAGCACTCATTTATTTTAACCAGCAAAAATTTGGGACCTATAAATCTATCCCTAGCAAAAGAATTTTGAAAATGTCCTTCATGTGGTATATCTGGAGAAGAAAAAGACATATTCTGTAAAGTTATCATGCATTCTCTAAGAGAGGAGCAACGAGCACATAAAACTCGGCAATTTATTTTTCTGTAGGCATTTTATAACACATGTCCTTGTTACAATGTTTATAAATTAGATTATATGTTAAGTTAATAGTTAAGACTAATAAATAACTACACTATAAGTTTGCAATCCATGGGTCGGTATACATGCTCCCTCACCACTCTATTCCACAGCAGAGGAGAGGATCAGGTGGGACACCCCAACTCTCTACTCACGGCTCCAGCCTTAAAGGGGCTGGCAAGGATTGTGGCTATTACGTTTTCATTGCTACACATACCTTTTTTAGGCTTTAAAAGACAGATTATGCATTAGAATTTGGAAACCCGAGTTGGAACAAGGGGGTGAAGTCTTCCAATACACACACACACTGTTATAGACTGTATGCAAAGAGTGACAGAAGCCATTGACAGAAGTAAATAGAAACCACTGCTCCTTGCTGTTAACATTTAATTTTCCTCTTAGCCGGCACAGCAGAAGGTGTGCCTGTAGGGGAGAGGCAGGGAAGTCAGCTTATTGCAAAGAAGCGTGGTTATTAAATGTGTTTGTGCATACCCTCATCTTCCCACATCTCTCAGCTGGACCATCCTCCGCTAGCCGCAACACGTACAGATCCATGTTATACTCCCGGCCACCTCGCAGGCTAAAGCCGAACCCTTTGGCTCCTCTTTCCAGCTCAACAGTGTAAAAGTCTTGGTCCTGCTGGAGGGAAGACAACATATGCGCAATTGAACAGAAAGTTAAATGCTGCTCTACTCTCATTTTGAAATTACTCAACCAATGAACATTATTATTTTTGTCACTCATAATTAAAAAAGAAAATTAGTTGACTTTTCACACACCAAATATGATCTCCTGCTTCCTCAGGTCCTACCATGCAATTCGGAGTGCTGGCGGTGATCCGCAAAGGGCTGTTTGAATGAACAGGCTTGGCCGTGTCCCACATATTTTTAGGCACCTCTGTTGTACACCACACCTCTTGTGCCCACACAGAAAGGCATACTTCTGGAGAGTGGCTAGGGTTCTACCAACCGCAAAGGAAGGCTAGGGCAACCTCACTTCCAGTGCCAGGCTTTAGTTAAATGTCTAATGGTAGCTGGGATGAGTCTATGCCAGTGATGGCTTTTCCTTTTTGTTATCACCGCATCTGCTCCCTTGCGAGAAGCTCAAAAGCACATGCATTGTTTTTTTCTACAGCACAAATGCCGTTAGCATACGGATGTTTTCAAGTCCCTAATGGAAAAGGTTACTTCTGGGATAGCCAATGGCAAGGGAAGTTAACAGTGAGATAATCTCTCTAATGAGATGCTGTCTGTGAAAGCTGGAACACTCCAGCTATTGCCCCTTATTAAGTTTTACTCTTTTTTGTTGTCTGAATTTATCATTTGCACACAAGAGTGCTTTCTGGAGAGGCCCCTCAAAATATACAATTCAGTAAACAAACACATAAATTATTACTGTCGTAAAAATGTCAGCTTTTTTCCCCCCCTCCCTAAAAGTCTTGATGAGAATATGTTGGAAATGTTTCTCAGCTGAAACAATAGCATTACATATTAAGAAACTAATCAGCAAATTCCTCTTTCTCTAGCAAACAGACTGAGGAAGAACAGCCTCCCACAGTAGGAATTTTCAAGGGAAATATTTGAACACAGCCCTCAAGCAGATTGGAAGCAACAGTCTGTGGTAAACAAAAGAATTGGAAAAGTACTCCTTACCTGCGCTGCTTGGGGTGGTTTGAAATCAAACTGGGATTCCTGCTTTGGTTTGGTGTTGTTTCTGCTGTAACAAATGAGAGAAAGAGGGCGAGAGGAAAAATACAGCTCATGGAATGTGAAGATGATCAAGAAGTAACCAAAGAGAGAGCATGTCAACATGCTCTCCTCAAGGAAAACAATCTGACCTGGTCTCCTGTGGTATTTGCTGAGGAGTATGTGTGGTTGTAATTGTAGCAATTTTTTCTGCATTGGTCAATAAAGTAGCATTGGAGGATTCTGCAAAATAAATTTTTATTTCATTATGAGGGAAGACCATTGGCTATTCACTGATAAAAGGTTTACAAAGGCATTTGACTGGAAAGCACCATTATGCTGTTTTTAAAGAACTGAAGATTGGCTCAAATTTCTCAAATCCAAAAATTAACAGGATAAAGTCTAAGCTAGTTCATAGTAATTATGTATATGAAACTGTACAGCACCTCAGTTGCAGAGAAATACTGGCCTTTGAGTGGCGTATTGAAACGTAACGTGATATATCCTTCATGGCTCAGCTTTTTTCTGGTATCCATCATCAGTTGTACCAAATTACTGTGTAATCTGTTTTTTGCTTTGTAAGAGAAAAACTTCTAAGCACCCCTAAGCAACTACGAAACTTTATCACATAACTGCTGGTTCTGTATCCTATGCTCTTGAAAAAGTCAAGGCTTTAGTGAAAGCATCACATTTAGCTTAACCCTCAGTGCAAAAGTTAATTAGCAAAAAATGTGCCTACCAGAAACTGCCACAGGTACCCATCACAAATAGTCTAGAGCAGGGAGTCAAATATTTATATATATTTATATAATATATAGTATATTTAGGTAATAGATACACAAATGAGGGGTTTTTTTCGGCAGCCAAATACATCAGCACTCTCATTAATCTCAAGAAAAACCCAAAGCCACTCAACTGGAAAAGGAAAAAAAAAAGGGGGGCGGGGGGGCGGAATCTGGATTAGAAACATCTCTGACTGTTGGACATACTCAGAAAAAGGACTGACTTGTGGAGGAAGGGTTGAAAAATGTTTTGTCTGCTAACAACATGAATTCCAATCATTAAAGTCTACAAATATGGTAGGTTGACTGGATTAATTTTATAGTAGCAATAACTATTCCATGATTATAAGTTCATCAGTGCTTCCTCCATCAGAAACTGCAATCTTCAGTAGGATTGAGATGTGGTTTTTATCTAATACCTCACAAGGTGATATTGAATGTGGCTAAATCCCAAACTTCCTGAAATCCACCCCTGAAATACAACGCACTGCTGCCTGAGCCCTCAAAGCTGCATGCAGGGATACGGAACCACCCGCACCAAACGCATCAACAGCTCTGGGTACCATTTACAAAAGGGCTCACCAAGAGAATACAGAGAGAAGGATTAAATTCAAGCCTCAGTTTATGCCATGGTAAAGGGCTCTCAGCCCAACATCAGCCTGTCAAATGCCATATTTCTCTGTGCATAAGAGGTGCTTCCAGGAGAGGTCCTCTCTCCTGCTTTACAAAACTGGGAAGGGAGTTGCTGTAGGCACAGCTGAAGAGGGACTATCTAGGTGTCCCTCATAGCACGGCATGGCAAAATGGTTCCCTTGTCATTCTGGAGCTTTTATCATAGACTTCAGTAAGACCAGAATTAACCCAGAACTCATTTAAAATTCTAAAATTAAGGTCATGCACGTTGTTTCTTGACTGAATTTCTCTAGTTCCAATCCCACTTAATAAAAAGCCACCATCAGACAACAACAATGAAAACTGGGTGGAAACATCTGGCCCTCCAACATAAAATTACAAGGTCTTCTACTTTGCCCCCATTTGCCTCTTAAGCTCCAGGCATCCGGTAATTCATTTTATTGACTACGGACAAATCTGCCGTTAGTAAACGGAATCCAGCTGTAATACAAAATTGCAGAAATGGGAGGGGTTTTTGCCTGAATTAAGGTGAGGGGGTGACCATGGGCTTACTTGGTCCTGGGAACCTATTTTATTTCATGGATTTATTTTAATTGTGGAGATATCTAGATGAGGTGGAGTTTTTTCCTTTCTGTGCATGTCAAGGGAAACTCAGGAAAAGGGAAAG